TTTAGCCTACAAAATTTGTATTAGAAACCAAAATGTGTAGCTCTGGGAGCTTGCTTGAGCAAAGGCTGCAGGTTTTGGCCACGGTTCTTTAAAAGTAGCCAACCTCTAAAAGGGTGATTAAAAACAAAACGTTGATTCTCAGTGCACAGAGTACAAATCTTTGTCCACACAGTCCATAGCTTCATTTTGTGTTACCTTGCAGCACAAAGCCTATTAATACATTTCTAATATCTATTGTAATTTACACAAACTACAAGGTGCTAATCCTTAGCCTATGCACCAGTAGGATGGGATTCATCTGTTCCCACTTCTGATGTCAAAGATAATCATCTACAGCCTATGCCTTAGATAAGCCATCTTTAGGATGACTAACGTAGGATAGGACCCAAGCTCCTTTGCAGCCAAAAGGATGGATCATCCGGGAAGTGGTTCATCTTATCCTAAGGCAAGTACTTTAAAAAGCACATACGATAAATCATAGACTGAAGGCTGCCTATTTTCCTCTAGTAACTACAAGCAGATTTAGGATGACAAGCTCAGACTTGTTGTGTGGTCATGCTCAGATTTGCCTCATGTTACAACAATAGTTGTAAACAATATATAATTATCTTCAGTAAATAGAAGCCACACAACAAAATAAAACCTGAAACTAATCTTCTCCTTGAAATTAAATAACCACCAGTCAAATCATGAGCACCAATTCTAAATACTGAATGTCAACTGATGAATTATGTAACATCCCATCCTTTTGTTTCCGAAATGCTGGGTTTGAGGTCATTCAGCAGAAACTCCCAAATTTCAGTTTCTGAAACTGTCAGTTTCTGGCCCTGCTTGACTCTCTATGTGATACTTACAGATCAGGATATAAGCATAAAGAAAATGGCATAAAGAACAACTTGCCACAAAGCCTTAACTTTCTCAGCATTTAGAGAATTTTGCATGGAATTGGCATATAAAAATGCCATTTATTTATCTGTCACTAAAAGCAGCTTCTTTAGTACCAGCTAAATATGGGATCATAAATCGGGATCATAAATCAAGATCATAAATCACAGGTTTTGATAGCTAATTCTTTTTTGATTGTTTTATCTCCAGGAAAAAGTCACCTTGATTGCACTGAGTAAGTCTATGAAATCTCTGTTTAAGTTTTACTTTCTGATTATCTTTTCCACACCTTTTTTCATCGAGGAAGAGAAGCCCTGTGTTTTATCTCATTAAATACAATATAAAACTCCACAAGTCTTCTAAATGTACTGCAATATTTGGGAACTAATGAACTACTTCCACTCAAGTCCTAATGAATTCCCTGTAGTAGTGCAGGCTTTTGTTTGGTTAGTACCAGAGTAAATCATGGTTCAATCTTCTAGAATTAAGTTGGAATTGACAGTCTGCTTCCACAATCTTTCCCTTCACAAGCAGCTGAAATGTTGTAAACAGGTTTATTTACTTCCTGGATTTGGCATTCAAAATTGATGCTGCTTTTTTATGGGTATTTTCTCAATTTTTAACTAATTAAAAGTTTTAAGTCCACCTTCTAGAGCTTTGTTCAACTGCTAAGAGATCTACCATTAAAAAAAGTCTTTCTGAATTCTGCATTTCTATGTTCATGCTCCTGCTATATTTTTCTGGTCTTCAGAAACTCAACAAAAGACAGTACACTGGAGCTTAAAAGAAAGTACTGAGGTAGATGGACACTAAACAATCCTTTGTTGTTATTATTATTATTTCTGAGCAGTCATTTCATCTCAGTGCTTCCTACAGATTCTTGTAACTCTGCAACCCGTGCGGAGTGCATCTGAATGAGTATGAACATGCAGGAACAAGACTCAGTGTATCACAATACTTGGTAATTATTCTCTTGAAAACATATTTGTCTAGACGCTGATCCATAGCAACATTTTATTTCTCATTAATTACTATTTTGCCTCCTCAAAATCTCCCTGGGAGGGATTTTTTAAAAGTGCATTCAAAGTCCAAACAGATTGTGTTAACAAGTTCTCTTTTATCTTCTAACTTATCAGCATGCTCAAAACTTTCTTTTCAATATTTTCATGTACTGAAATCCATGTTCAATGGATGGTTTAAATACTCAGAATTATTACCTCAGTTAGGGTTTTTTGTATGGAACAAGGCTCCATATTCTGCAATTTAGATTCTCAGCAGACTTTTAGCAGACTAGCTACTTTATTATTGAGATATATTCGATCCCCCTGGACAAATACCAGACAGTCCTCTCCTAAAATTTTTGGTTTGTTGAAATGTAACTTTAGTCCAGCATCTTATCTCCTGATGCCTCAATCTCCAATTTTCACTGGATAAATTAGTTCCCAAGCTAATATCCTGTGACATAAACATAAATGTAGTTTCTCTTCAATATACTTATCCTCTCTAATTGGATTCTTTACTCGGTTACAATCCCACAAATCAAATTATTCTGTCAATGGCTTCCTACTTCTGAATCATTCGCTTTTCTTAGACCTGTAAGCCTAAGGAAGAAAGCTATAGCTGGAGGGAACTTACATCATTTTCATTCACGACTTTGAATCTGTTCACTTTGTAGCATATCTGATATTAAGCAGTCCACTGTTGAAGCGTTGTGTAACATACTGCACCTGGCACGACAGACTCAATAAAATTGTTCTGCATGTACTGTGTGAAGTTTGCCTAGGTTTGCATAATGAAGTGAAATCACGGATCTTTGTACCGGATGCACAAAGTAAGCACTTTTAAAACATAATCTGATTGTATTTTCTCTGAGTTCAATTATCTCATTTCTCTTCATCACTCTACTGCTGGTTTTTCTGTTTGCTTCATTACCTGGTTCTTGATACTCCTCTCTTTGTATCTCCTTGCTTTGTTTTCCTTTTTTTTATTCTTAATTATTATAAATTTTTTTTTGTGCTCTGCTTCTGTTTGACCATTTTCTGCCTCTTACTCCTTCCTCTCTGTACGTGCCTTCCTATCCTGCTGCTTTCTCATTTTTTTCTGCTGTGTGCAGAAGAAAACCTGCCGCACACAGTTCATCATATAGTAGACAATAAATGTATGGGAATGTTGTAGAATCCTATCATGGGAATAGTCATTTCCATCATGTCATTGTATCAACGCCAGAATAACTGCTACTGGTGTATTACAAATGCCTTAGAAATACAATCTGTGGAAAAAAAAGCAGCAGGTTGCCACTTTCTTAAACATGTGAAAACTAGTACACAGAAGATAAGTTAACATCTTAAGCTCCAACAACAATCTAAAGTACATCACAGGGACTTCTTCATCACCTGCAGTTTACATCTTCTGGACTAGTTGCAAAGTCCATTTGTTGACACCCATAGCTATCCGAAAACATATACAATGCATAAGCTTTGAGGATTCCCTTGATGGTTGGTTGCCTCTATTGGGCCATTTGGTTGAATTTTGTTAGTGAAATACAGGAGTATGAATCAGAAAATATTGCCTGACATGCCTAGACATCTGAGAAAACCAGAAAACAAAAGTTTAGTGTAAAAACGTTCGCCAGTGCCTAAGGTTTGTTGCCACCCACATGCTGTCTTTTCTGAATTGACTGCCTATTCCCTTATCCACACCTATCTGGGAACTAACATTCAGATATCCCTGAACTTAATCCTCCTGGAGAACTCAAATTGCTAGTTACGTTCTCAGCTCAGAATTTAGTTCCAGAAAAATGTGACAAACAGTGGTGGCAGAGACCTTTTAAACAAACAGACCTCTTATAAGAGAAGTTGCTCAGGAAGGCAAACCCTGACTCTACCTGACAGATTAGCAGCTAGGTAGAGTATTTAAACTCTGGTACAAGTTATTGTTTCTTAATACAGTGAAAGTTCTTACTTCTCTATTCAGTGATTTTTCCATCTGAAACCTATAACCAGGCTAGGGAATAAGGACCCAAGCATTTATAAGCTATCCTTGGTTGGATGCGTGTGTGTGTTAAAATCCTCGGGTTGGACAAGATGACCTCCAGAGGTCCCTCTCAACCTAAAACATTGTGTTATTCTGTGATCCTCTGAGGCTGAGGTATAACTACAAGTCAGATCTCCCTTTCTCAAGGCAAATGCTCAAACTACCACACTATTGTGCAAAAAGTGAGCAGTAGCATTACCTTATCACTATTTCTGGAGGAAAGAGAAATCCCAGTGTTTATTCCCAGACAGGTTTTCAAGCACTTAGTCTCTGAGGTTTCTACCTCTATCTATTTTCAAGTCCAGGTATTTTCTGAGCATGATGTAGTTTGTATTACTAGTAAGCCAAAATGAATCTCACTGTTGAGTTTCTCCTTGAATCTGTGTAAGCTTTTTTGCATTCACAAGGACCTTCACAAATAGTCTTAGATAAGTAGCTCTGTGTAATGCAAAAAAAAATGGAAATGAAAAAGAAGGACTGTTCAAGGGCAAGTGCCATTCAGGATTATTTCAAGTTTAAAAGAAGGTACTCTAGAGAAAGATAAATACTGGACAATTCCAGAGTTTCATGCACTAGAGACACCAAACACTTCAATGCCTGGAGTTTTCAGAATAACTTCTATCGAGAACATTTTTTTTCTTAGGAGTAAATTTGTTCTATCACTTTTATACCTTGATTCTACAGTGTATGAAGTGATATATTATCAATACTATGATAAAATAAAAGTATGCAGGGTATTTTGTAAGGTGCAGGCAACCGTGTTATGTGTTCTCAGCAGCACAAAATAAATTTTATTCTGTCATCTGTCATGATAAAAATAAATTTGTATAATAAAATGGGCATGTTTATATACACAGCTTATTTTTTTTCAATTTCCAGAGAAAACTAGTCACCATCAGCAGTTACAAAACATAGAGCAAAATTACTAAATTTATTCAATCTTTTAAAATAAAATTACAAGACTATTATTTCAATTCGTCTAAAATGTAAAAATTTGGTAGTATACTTTTCTACTGGTACAAAAAACCCTCTGTAACAGCGACTCAAATAACTCTGTATTACTTAAGAATCTTTATATTTACCCACGCACTGGAATACTCATATTCCTTGCAGATTTAGCAACTTCTTCAAATTTTTCTATGCTTTCTTCAATTGAACAATTAATATTCATTTTGCTAAAAGATTCAGATGCTGCACCAAATACTGAGACTTCTGTAGCCCCTGCTGCAATCTGAAAAATACATTTCAATAAAACAGAGTCATAACACTGTATTAAAAGATTAGATTAAGCATTTAATTCTGTACAACATTCTAGAATTTTAAAGTACACTGTAAGTATATCATCCATATCTAAAATATAAGTTTCATTCCAATTTTTTTTAAATCTATTGCAAAAAAAAAGATTGAGTCAAACTTTGAGTTCATTCACTATGGCATATTTCCTTCCTCTTCTTATCAATTAGGTAAACATATTTTTAAAGTGATAAATGATAAAGGTATTAAGACGTAGGAAATCATATAACCAACTACGAAAATAACAATGATTGATACTTATATTCATTTTTCAGAAAAGGAAAAGATCATATAACAACTCTGAAATACCCATCCTCTATACAAAGCCTGTTCCTCATGAATGCCAGGAAGTCATTCTCATGCTTAGGAAAGCTCTGTGCCTCCACGTGCCTACAGCAGCAACAATAACCAACAGGGATTTCCTTGTTAGAGCCAACTCTAGGATCAAGAGCTCCATTGGCCTTGGTGTCATAGTCGATATGGATAATATGGAAAACATGTATGTGAGAGTCTGCTGAGAAAAAGTCTCAGAGCAAATACCAGTCTAGAAAATGTGTAAATGTGGTGACTTCACTGAAGGGGCAATTAGCCTGAGCTTGTACTCAGTACCTCAGTACTCAGTAAAATCAACTAACATGAGGCAAACTAGAATGCTGAAAGCTAAATGATAGGAGAAGAAAACATTTAAGCTTAGGATAATAGCTAATTAATTAATTGTCACTCTCCAGTAAGAATAATACTCTTGTTCTATGAAAAAGAATGGAGCTTTTCCCTTTTCTCTCTGCTTCTGCAGGATAATGTCTAAGCTTCAGCAACCCTTACAGGAACAAATATCCTTTCAAATAGAGGGAAGAAAAAAAAATAGCAGCAAGAAAGGACTCAGCAATAACGTACAACTATTTTTGCATTGTTTTCCTTTCATTATATCACTAAATACGGCATAGAGATATAGGAGATTTAATTCAACTCATACAAGCTACCATTGCACACAAAATTGTGGCACTATAAATCTGACTATTGATAGTTAATGTGCCTATGTACAGGATTCTGTCTTAACAGAGATCTGATATGCAGTATAGAAACTGAATGATAGACTACACCACAAACGTCCATCAAGCAGTATGCTTTCCAAATACATCTTGTCCTATATCAAGACAAAAGCATAGAAACATGAAAAATTTTCAGAAAACAAAAAAGTGTAAAGATCTGACTATCAATGTATATGTTTTAAGAAGACTGAACTGGTCCATTTTTGCAATGCCAAACACTTTGAGTCTATAATTTTGAATATTTATTTTGTATGAACTGAAATAATTTAAACTGTCAAACCCTACCAAAATAAATTGCAGAATTTAAGAAATCTAACACATTCTGATAAAGCATTTTCATTTAATTGACTCTTTACTCATTCTTCTTCACTACCTTCCAATAAGAAGACACTCTTCAGAAACTTTTCTAGGGCCAACAAGTCAAAGAAGGAACTGTCTTTTTCTTTATACACAAGCATCATTTATAGGAACCTGCAAAGACTGTTCAATCAATACTTCCATTAAAATATGAATATATAAACCCTAACATCAATCTTCGAATTTGCCCATTTTTCACAATGAAAACTGAAGAGTTTTTAATTAAAAAAAACTATAGCTTAGTTCTAACAGGACAGGTTATATGACATTAAATAGCTAGTTTATGGTACTGAACTGAAAGTGTCTGAAACATGAAAGAGATAATTGTGGACGTCTTCTATAAAGGCACTTACAGCAGAATGAAAACCTTGAAGATTAGGCGTGAGAACAGGATACTGGACTCCAGGATGCCGCTCAATGCCCCTCATTACTTCTTTGTGATCCGCCATCTAAAATATATAAATAATTGGTATTGATCAGCAGTTATTTTCTGATTTTATATAGCTAAGCAGAAATTGGCTTAGACTGTGTTTTTGCCTTCATTAGGTATACAGTTCATACAAAAAGTGTAGCAACAAAGGGGTTAAATTGATGTTGTACAAGCACTTCTTTTTTGATTTCTTAACTTTTGAGTATTTGAGTTGCAAGCTTTCCAGTTCTATATGAATATAGAATTGGGGCTATGATTTCTACGGTATTTCTTTTTGTGTGTATCTGTAAAAACATAATTTGCATCATAAATTGATAGACTTGTGATCATGCTGATCATCAACTGTTATTGCAACTTTAAACTTACTTCAATGGACTCAATAGGTGGAATTAACAGAATAACTGACATTTTAAAACCATCCAAATGTTGAAAACTTCAGCACTCTGATAAATGCGACTTCACAATCTTAAGCAAAAGTGAACCTGAATTGCTCAACACTGCATATTTGAAAAGGCTAATCACAAGTCTATCCTTAAAAATATAGCAAAATCCAGTTCTCTGCTCAGTGTAACATTTTAATATACTTAGAATTTTCTTTCAAAAGAAGAAAATACTTCTTTATTATAGCAAAGGTCAAAGACCTTTACTTTATTCAAGCATTTGTTTTCCTTAATCTCCTCTCACAAAAGAAACTCTGCCTTTTTAAGACATTCTTACGCTTTTCTCACTCAAGATTAAATATACTCTATGTACTAATCAAGAAGATGGATCAAAGGCTTATTCATGTAATAAACTGTAGACGAGCACATTTTCTTGAAAGAAGTGGAGGAAAAACGGGTTTATTTTTTAATGGTGTGCATGCCTGAAAACAATACAGTTAATAAAACATATCCCTCATATTTCATGTCTTACAGATTTTGAGTTTTAAAAAATGAATAGTGTATTTTAAATGCTTTTTAAATCAGCTCTCATAAAAGCAAATCTTCCAAGCAAAAAGTATTAAATTGGATTTCTGATTCTTTCCACACTGATGAAAAGTCATTTGAGGAGTACCGTACGAAAAGATATATGAGCTACAAAGCTTTCGTTACTCCTTATTTTCAACGGATACTTTATTGATAGATTTGCAGTACCAGGATTCTAAATATGTGATATTAAATTATACCAGATTATTAAGTGACAATACTACTGGCAACCTGGAATCTTCTTGTCACTGGTTTCCTACTATGAAAATGAATGAATTAAAAATATCAGAAAAATACATGTATGCCTCCTCAAATGTAAGCCCAACATGTATCTATAAGGAAGTGGATATATGGTATGAAAAGTGTCTTATAGCCAGACACAGCTCATTTCTCATTAGGAAACAAGTGATGGCACAAAGCAAGTTTTGTCATTACTTCTACATAAACTAAATCAGTGTGACCACCTAACATATCCGATAACCTCACAAAAAACCATCCAGTAATGCCTTAGTTTTTTAAGAACAATTTTTCATTACTTAATTTAATATAAATAGTATCTACATTTCTCAGGGCAAAGAAGAATGTTTGAAACCAAATGATTAATTAAATGACAAATGTTGGAACTAATTCCACACTTTAAAATTATAGCCTGACTTAAAATATACTAGAAAACCAAAATGACACTTTTTCAACCAGTATAAAGCTGCCAGGTCCCAATAATATTATATGTATTACATTTGTCCCATTACTATTTTTCCTGTAAGTAAAATCCCATTTTAACACATATTGCATGTTATAAGATTTTAAATTGTAATAAAATATTTCTTTTCCAAATTTCTTTAAAAATAAGCTTTCTAATGGTAGGTATTTATAATTTTTGGCCATTTAGGTTATAGGTGTGGGATCCTGTTTTATATGGCACCTTACTACTGTGGAACTTTTTCTTTTAGCTTTTTTCAGTAAAAAAATCTCTGCCAAAAAAAACAGTGGATGGGAAACCATAAAAGAGCTTTAAAATACTAAAAAAAGAAGTAAGTGAATGAGTGATCTAAACATAACCATGAATTCTATTCCCATGACCTATGAAAAGAAAAAAGGAGCAAAGAAAAGACAAAGTCAAGACTGCACTCCTTATCAAAGCAACACAATCTTATCTTTTAAATAAAAAACATTTTAAACAAAAATTAAGCCATTAAAATAAAGTATTCAGACATGAATTTAAGATAAGAAGGGATTGTTCATTTTTTCCAAAACTGAAAAACCTGTGCTAAATTTGGTACTCCTAATGGCTCACAGGAAAAGGAAATAATTAAACAAGAAAGGAAGAAATCCACCTTTGCTTTAGAATTTTCCTTCTAATGTTTAAAAACCCCTACATCATTCTCTGTTGCTGTAACTGCCAAAGTTTGATGGCACTTGGAAAAATTTAGCCTAGCCACTTTTAACGGACACAATCTGAAAATTCATTGCCCCTGCATTGACACTGAAGAAATTCTGCATTTTTGCTCTTCTCTTCCCCTTTTCTATTATCCTTACTTTAGGCCCTTCCCTGGTGATCCCGGGAACACTGAAATAAATCAAAGGAGTCCCTCAGAGAGTGCTGTTCAGCCAGTTTGCTCTGCTCACTCATGAATAAGAAAAAGTATGATCATACCATGTTTTCCTCAGAGGAAAGCCTGGAATACAGTCCAGGCCCAGGAAGCATTCTCACTTTAAAAAGGACAAACTTTATATACATTTTGACAGAAGATGTGCAACAAACAATGTTAAAAATTGAAGTATTTTCTCAAATCAATTAATTTCATGTTTTATTTTGTAAATAACTTGTGTGGTCCTTACTAAACATACAAGTACTCAAATGCTTCTGTGCAAACAAGTGTGTAATTTCTTGAAAACGAGTTTAAATGATATAGACAAGTATTGACTTAATTCCTTACTTGCAGGGAATGCTTAAGTTTGCATAAACAGGAGCTACATAGTATACTTCAGGACTAAGCCTGAATTTGCAGTGTTAAATCTCAAATGAAAACCTGGCACTCCTAATGGCAATGTAGTTTTGCTGCTGAGTTCAGAAAGGCTGGGATTTCTGCTGAATTGTACCAAATGTAAAAATTAGTTTTGGAAAAATAATAAGCAAATTATTACGATTCATCAAAACTCAGTATGGCTGCTGATAGAGTGCTAGATCTGCAAAATGACTAATGTGCCTAACTACTACTATGCACACAAAAGTCCCAAATTTAGACCTTCCAAACACACTTCCAAATGTGGAAAATGAAATTTCATTTAGGGGAAAAGAAAAAAAGGTATGCTACCTTTCTTTTTTACATCGATGACTATTAGTTCTCAAAAGAGTAGAAAAAAGGTAGGAACAACATTAAATTATATTAAGAATGCGTCACCATTCCAATTCTTTAGTTACAACTGAATATTTACATAAATAAAGAGCAAAATAAAATGCACAAGTACTTTCTTTTTCTCCATTCCACAGTACAACGTTAACGTTGATTGTAAAGAATTTTCTCTGTATTATTAACTATAGAAAGCCAGTTCCCATGTGTGAGCAAATTCAAAATCAGGATAGAATCTGCAACATCTCTCCTTAACTAGAAACCTTAACATGTAAGTGTATGTGTGTTTGTATGTGTGTATGTTTATAATGTTAGTGTTTGGAAAAGGAGGACTGCATGGTGGATAGATGGAAATGTACCAAGTGCAGCAGATAAAAAATGGTGTTTGGCTTCAGAGAAGAGTCAAGTTTCCATGACAGTCTACACAACCCCTAGGCCTGGGGAGTCTGCTCCCCTGGTTTGGTGCTAGGGAGCTCTGTAGAGAAGTTTCCACAGTTTGCAAAAGCCCTGTGCACCTAGGTTTTCTTTCTCTGATTCTAGGTCTCTGAACTGATGTTACTTCCACAGGAAGTCCCCTCCACCATGACTGTTCCCCAGAGATCAGCCCCACTGCTGTTCATCTGGATACTCAAACTCAGTACTCTGCATCCCAACAAGCTTCATAGTCTCAAATCTTTATCACTTTGTCTACACTCAGCATCCTATATCCCAGCCGCCCTTTACGCAGAGGGTTGACACATTGTCCCCACACGTCTTATCCCCACTCAGCATCCTGTGACCCAATTCTCTCACTCCCCATTTACTACTGTCCCTTGCACATACACACTCATAAAAATTCCTACCCTTATGCTGCAAGGGGGAAATAGGGAATCACCTGCTAAATTATTTATGTTTGGAGAGTGATGACAATATTTAAGATTTCTCACACCCTATGTAGTAACCATGGCAAATTGTACTCCTAGCATTTCTGTTGATTAGGGCCCAGAGTGCTCCCCTTCTTAGAGTTTAGTTGCCTGCACTCAAGGCCAGCTCATTGATAAGAAGGCAGCAACTTGAGAAGCCTCAATCAGCCTTGGAGCTCATCTATAAAAGCTGGAAAGCAGATCAGCAGAGGCTCCCCCAAACAGCTCTGTTAAAAGTCTAAACGTGGCCTACCCTCCCTTTTCACTCAGAAGAAACTTTTAAGCTGAGACACTCTCATGCTTCCTCCCTGCCTGAGAAGCAGTGCAGCTGCACAGCAGCAGCCAAGCCCGTGCTTGGCCGTGTACCTCACTGATTGGATCCAACTATGTCTCGCAGAGTTGACTTTCTGGCTTGACCCTGGACCTGCTGCATCACTGCAGACTCACCTGAGTATGTGTACTCTTGGCTGCCCTGGTTACCCTCACCGGACTTGCTCTGCTCTCATGGACTGCCCTTTAATCAACAAGGCTACAACCTCTGCACCCCTTCTTATTGTGCTTGGCTTCCAATTCCCCTTCCGTTCTGGAGGAACCTGCTCCCTAACTCTGCTGAGTTAGGGATTTAAACAGCTTTCTGCACAGCTTCCTGGCTTTTCTTCAATTTTGACTACTTTTTAATAATTAGTCCAACTTCAGCTGACCTGAATAAAAGCACAAAACTTGAAAACTGTGTAAATGGTGCCTGACAACAGCATCCGATTTTACAAATAAACAACATACTACTTCTGTTCCATTTTCTTGTATCATTATACAGGCTATACTACAGGAAAACTCCACTGCATGGAATGGCATTTAAATGGAAATAGTTCTGAATGGTGATGATTTTACATACCTGAGGCACCCATTTGGATGAAACGAAACTGGTCACTTCTATTGCAGGCAGGCCTGTTCTGGAAAGCTGGTTGATTAACTCAATTTTGATATCAGTTGGGACTATCACCTACAGACATGGAGATATAGTATAGTACAGTATTTCATGCGGTAAGAATCTTTTGTAAGTGAAATATTCTTAGCACATAATCAGTACTTTTTTTTAAAATAATGAACTATACTCATACATTATACCATAACTATATTGTTTCGTGACAGTAGGAAGCTACTGCACAAGGAAACCACTAGGCAGTATACATGATCCTACTCCATTTTTTGTCCACCACAAAAGAATGAGGAAGCACTTCCATGTAATTTGTTATAGATCTAGCCTCACTAGTTGTTAGTAACCAAACACGAACCTAGCAAAGAAGCGACAAAGGAAATAGCAACACAAAATAGTTCAACCAGAGAAAAATAAAAAAAAAAAAGCTCCACAGCCGAGGCAGAGTAATTCTATTTATACTATTAACACCTTTGATATCAGTAACAACGATATATGTAAGCTTATCCTCCTGTTTGTGGAAAGAGATGATTGTTTTGATACATGTACCTTATTTTACATGGTCTCTTTCAATCTTCTTCCATGCTTCCCTACCAACTCTTCAGGCAATTATTATCAAAAGAGAAATTTCTTTTCATGCCTGTTCATCAGGAAGTGTGACAAAACCTATTGTACTATTCCTACTATAGCAGCACATGTAGCACAAACACATATTATGAAGACAGCCAGTGTTTCATGGCATTTACCAGTTATGTCATGACAGAATGGGATTGATTGACAAGACAAATACCAGAGAGAAAAATGGCAGTAGAGTAACAGAAAGGCTAGTTAACCAAGTATAGCCAGAAATTATATGATTTAACATCGGGCTAAATAGTAATAAACCTTTATTCTAATATGCAAGACAGTTACTAACACACAAATCAATAAATGTATTTATAGTAAAAATGGAAGAAACACAATTAGCAGGATATATGTATTTTACACAATGAAAAGAATGCTGATATCCATGTCAAAACACACCCCCAAAAAAGAGAAAAATTACCTTTTCATTTTGTAATCCATCTCTTGGCCCAACTTCTACAATCTTTATGTACTCAGGCAGTCCAGATGGTTGAGATTCCTGAAATACAAATCAATACTGAAACACAAAACAATAAAGGTCACTAAGATCAAAGGTACACCTCATACTTGTCCTCTCACACGATTCAGGGTATAAAGTCATATTGTCAACAGTAACTTTGCTCACGGCCTTTAAAAATCTGTGAGAACATGTTCCACACCTTGAGTTAAGGAATAAAAGTTAAAAGCAGAAGTTATCTGCATGTATGTTCCACTGCTCCTCTGAGGCCACAAATGTTTATTATAAAAGTGTACATAAAACCATAAATGAACATTGTGTTTTACAGAATGAGAAATATTCCCATTTCAAAAAGCTTCCCAATGGAAGATCCAGTCCTCCAAACTTCTAACTGAATGTTCTCAATTTAACTGAACAGTTACTTCTCCGTAAATGTTTGCAAGACCAGGCTATAAATCTGAAAAGAACAGAGCAGTCAAGAAATGTTGAAGAGATTATTAATGAAAGATGAAAGTAATTCCTCTGCCTGAAGATGAAGGTTTTAAAGAAGGATTTAAAGGAGAACAAGGAAGGCCCCTGGTAGACAAGAAGAAGAATTTTCCAGGTGTAAGGGAAGATCTGGAAAGGCAGGAGGCTGACAGTGAAAGGAGGGAAGGAAGGCAGCAGTAAGGTCAAAGGGCTAGGGAAAGCACGGGGAGTTGGAGGGGGAGGAAGGAGAAACAAGAGCAGAAAAGCAGGTGAAGGGAAATGAAACTTCCTTTTTTATTATTTAGCTGCTCTGTTATTGAATCAAGTTGACAGGTGTGGCAGTTAACATAACCTGGGCCTTATGTTAAGGCCTTAAGGTTATGTTATCTCTCAGGCCTTAAGTCCTGAGACAGTTCAGAGCAGTTGCTCAGACTGACCCCCAAAAAGCTGCATGTCTTTAAAAAACAAATCAAATGGCCAACTGGGAGCACACTCCCAGCACCTGTATGAGCAGACAGGAGGGCTGCAGACAGCCCCGCCAGGAGCTCTGGAGACACCCTGTTTTCTGTATTGCACTGAATACAGAATCCAACCCAGTGTCTCCATTCCAGTGTTGAAAGCCCGTGCTTTAGGGCAAGCTACCTGTGGGACGGCTGCTCCCGCTGCACCCACCACCTCCCCTGGGTGAACAGCTCCCACCCGCGGGAGTCGCAGCTCGCCCAGCGACCAGAAGCCACTTTTGCAGTACGTAAATACAGCCACTAATCTCACGTCACCCACAACCAGATGAAAAAAAACATTTTTCATCCCTTCCTGGCTAGTATCATCAGGGTTGTTTCAACGAAACGGCCGTTAATTTCTCCTCACGGTAACAGAAAATGAGCACTCCTACAGCACCTTTGGTTTCTCGGTGCCCGTGCATAAAAATAACTTCTCTGCAGCAACAGCCACAACACTAGCCAAAATACAATAAACATATTTCAGAGCATTTACTGTGTATTTATCTGAGCCCAGTAAAAAGAATAGGAAACAGCTGTATAGTATCTATTTGATCACGTGGAACATCTGGTAAGTTAAAACTCTGTCAGGCTGTGCTAAGCTCACACTCGCTGACACTACTTAAATGTGAAGGTAAAACCTTCACATCTGCTGCATATTGTTTCTCTTTTTTTAAGTTATTTTCACAAATATGGCACCACTTCAGCACTACGGGCATAAATCTGGGTTATTTCATGATTATCAGATCCTTCTTGTTACAAGACAAATGCCACAGCTGTGCTATGAGTAAAGCTGTGACTGGAAAAAAAAAAGGAGCTAAAATAGATTATGTGAACCAAAGCTTAATTTAGAGCATGAAAAATGTCCATAAAACTTTGGTGGCAAAAATGTTCAATTTCTAGGCCAAATCCTGTAAATCCTATTCAGTTCCTACTGTGGTAAAACTTTTGCTGAAATCAAAGAGCTGTACCTGTTTTTACAGAACAGTTCACACAGCTACAGCACGTGCAGTAGCCATTCACACAGCCATTCAGGGGATGTCTGCATCCCTTGGATTTTGTAGGGGACAGAATTTTGGAAGGGACATTTCAGAAAGGCATTCAAGTATTGATTTTTATTCTCCATCTGTGATATTACAGGCATACAATCTGTCTGAGCCATAGTCCAGGTCTCTCACCCCCTGATTTTCTCTATAGCCTTCCTGTCCACTAGTCAGTCCCAACTTGAATTCACTGTTCTTGAACACAACACTGAGAACCACGTATGAGATGACTCTCACAAGGGCCACATAATGGAAACTCAAGGCAGTACTACAGACAAATCCTTACACTCTTCAAGCTGATGAACTAACATCTTAGAGTAAACATCTTGGCTCTGAGTCCAGAAGTCTCTTGCTTTGCATTGAATTTCATCTAGTTTCATCTGTAGTACATTGATTACTCCTGTCTTTAAGGTCACTCAGTTCCTCCTGTGTGGCATCCAGGGTGGTACTGATAATGTGTCCTGTCTTTCTGTCATCAGCAGATCTTACCACCTCGATATTTTCTGGTGAAAACATTTGGACTAACATGATTACCTTATTTTAATACAAACACATATTATCTTAAAAAATCTGGGTTAGTGCTATAGAAGAAACACATTTTAAAAAAAGACCTGAGGAACTCCACCAGCAATGTCTCTTTGGTCTAATAAATCTGCTTTCAACATCATCTCTTATTTGCTCCTCAGCCAGTTTCTTACTCATCTCACAAATTCTGTTCTGATCATCCTTCTCCCCAACATAACTAATAATTTCTCTCGTGCTGCACTGCTGAAGCTCAGATAACAAGCAAGTAAAAGGGAGGCAGAATACTTCGGTTCAGGCCCCTGTGTGCTATTTATGCATTTTACAGTGCATAATCACTGGATAAAACTCAGAAACAAATTAGAGACTGTAAGAGTACATGTACCATCTTCTGCTAAGATGACTCCAGCATTTTTCCATTCTGTGGCCCAAGTTGAATCAGAGGAGTAAAGGAGTGCCTCTTCGCCCTAATCTCACCTGTCCTATGAATGAATACTCAGTAACTGGCTGTTAGGACATTCTTCCAAGACGTTGGAGATACATATTTCACAATGTTGTCGGGAAGAAAAAAGAGACTCTCTGCTTTCTTGGGAAGTCTTCTGATCACAGTGTCACACTTGCAGAATATTTGGACATGACTTGAAACACAGCTGAAGAAGTCACCTGAGCCACCAGTCACATTCTGTGCCAGGCTCAACGCCATCTGCATTCACTAGGCAGGCTTCAAATAAATCCACAGAACAGACTGAAGTCTTTAAGAACTCATGCAGACTTTAAACACTTCTCTGTTTACTATCTGGATGGCATTAGACCTTAACCAGGACTTGGGCTTCGTGCATTGAGGGATCGAGTTCCCCGAACTCTAACTGGAGGATTCCAAATGTGCACCATCCCCTTGGGTAAAAGGAAGGATTTTCAGAACCAACAATGAGACGAACTTAGAGAATTGCGACATCTTCAAGTATGGCATTAAATAGTCTACAGATAATAAACAGAAAATATAAAGAGAAATAAATAGAAAAATGAAAAATAGTTTTATATTTTAAGAGAATCCAAAAAAGGTTAACCTTGCAGAAATACACAAGTACTTACATTAAACACTAAATATGTCAGGTAAATCATTTTGTTTCAGAAAAAAATATTAACACAATTGTATTATACGAAGTATTTTTATGTAACAAAGTATAAAAAGTAGTTATGGTAGATACTTAGAGGTGACTGCTCATTGAATTATATAGTGGCTCTGTTAAAAAGTAATGACTACCAAAGTACAGCATTTGAAATATCAAAAAGGAAATGGTTGACATAAAAGACTAAGAGCCTGGAAAATTTGTTTTTTCCATGTATCAAGCCTTGCCAAGGGAGAAGAAAAAGCCTATAAAACCACAAAAAATTGCCTC